GCCCACCAGGGGGCAGGGCTGGCTGGCATGCGGTGCTGGGGGACCGAACCGCGGTCCCTGATGCTTTTGCTAAGCTTGTTCTAAGTAGGTGCTCTAGACCACCGAGCCATCTCTCCAGCCCGCTTGTAGCATTTCTTAACCCAGTTTGTGCCCTGTGAGTTATGACCCTCTGGCCCAGCTCTGGTCTGCCTCTCATAACAGCGTGTTGCTCTAAAGAATCCTCTGTAGGATGTTTTCCACGGAAACTTTTAGGACAGGTTGTGGGGATGGGCAGTGGATAGACCCTATACCTAATGTGCTGACACCCTTTTAAGATAGGTTACTCCTCTGCTCCCAGCTCAGAATAAGCCATCCAGTACCCTACCAATGGATGGTGGTGGTGGTAATGTCCCACCCCTGCCTGAAGAGCAGGGCTGAAGACCAGATGATTGGCCTATCTGTTGCCCCACACATCAACACATGCAGTTCAGTGGGTGGCTTTGCCTGCTGCTGGGGAGCAAGCAGCCTGGGCTCACAGGAAGGGCTCTGAGCCCATTCTGGGCCTTGGAACTCAAGAAGGGTTATCGCCAGAGAACCACGGATGGAGAATAGGCCTTCACACCTTCTCTCCCAGCTTGTGGGGTCAGGGTCCTTCAGCTGCTTGTTTCACAGCTGAGAGGAAGGGTGGGCTTTTCTTGCCTAGGGGCCCCCAACCCTAGCAGAGTCTGGATGATCTTCTGGGAACTCTCCTCATCTCTGTGTCTTTGTGCTTTGCAGTGATCAGGGCCAAAGCGGTCAGCGAGAAGGAGGTGGACTCTGGGAATGACATCTATGGCAACCCCATCAAAAGGATTCAGTACGAGATCAAGCAGATCAAGGTAACCCTGTCTGGCATTATTGTGGGGTTGGACAGACTTTGGCCAAGGCCTGGGTCTCCTTAACTCAATCCCACAAGCTATACAGCAAAGAGGAACATTGTCAGGCTATGACCAGGTCCCATTCTCTTCAATCCATAAATGACTGGAGAGATGAGCGGAAATGGTATGTCCCTGGTGACTCCAGTCCTCTCAGAACTGTGCTGATTTTGTTGGATGGCAGATTGGTGGTACAGGAAGAGGCATTTGGAGCAGGAAGTCCCCCCTGTGGCTGGGTGTAGTTAAGGACAACTTCCTGATCACGGTGATGGGGCTGGTTCCTGAGTAGATGGCCTCTCAGGTGGCACAGGGGCCCAGGTCAGAGGGCTTCAGGCCTGGGACATTGCCCATGCACATGGGCAGAAACCTAGTGGAGAGATAGAGATAGAGACAGACAGACAGACAGACAGACAGACAGACAGACAGACAGAGGACAAGGAGGCTGGATACTGATAGTAACTATTTTGGTCTTCAAGAGAGAAGAAAGTCCCTGGCTGCAGGTATAGGGGCAGCTATGCAGCACAGTGGTAGTGTAGCCATCTGTGTTGAATTTTGTTATAAAAAATAATACATTTTCCGGGGGAAAAAACTTCCTGGTATTGGGGCGCAAGCCCAGGGACTTTACACAAAGCTACCTTCCAGACTTCTTTTATATTTTAAATTTTGAGGCAATGTCTCTCTGAGTCACTCAGTTGCCCAGACTAGGCTCAAACTTGCATTCCTCCTGCCTCAGCCTCCCAGAGGCCTGGGATTACAAGCTTGGGCCACCAGACCTGGCCTAGAAAATAAATTTCATCAGAATGCCAATGGACTACTTTGTCCTTGTATATTTATCACTTCAAAGTGATGACTTAGTCTCTCTGGGCTTGAGGCTTTTTGTTTATGAAACAGGAAAGAAAAATCTGTTCTTATGATTGCATTGTGGGTGTTAAACACCAAAACAGCACTTGTAGCTCTTGGTCCGACAATGTCACTTACCACCATGTGTAAACGTTGCCACAGCGTGGTGGCCTTACCTCCTGTGGGCTGGAGTGGAGATCCTAGAAAGCTGGTTTCTCACAATATTAGGGAATAATCCCAATCCATCTGGGTTTCTTTATTAAAACTCTCCAAAGCTGGAGAATGACTTGCAGGTAGAGCAGGTGGCCCCAGGCTTGATACCTAGCACTACCAAAAATCCTTGCCAGGGTGCTGGGGAAATACCTGCCTTCACCTGAGCCACAGGTATGTTCCTGGAGAGCTCTAAGTAAATCAAGCACTCCTGCTTAGGCAGACACAGGGGCCGAGGGTTCGATTCCTGGCTTGCAGTGTAGGCCCCGCCCCTGGGGCACACTGAGATAGCAATTGAGACTGGGCCTGGTGGCGTGTGCCTGTAATCCCAGCACTTGGAAGGCTGAAAACAGAAGGATCACTACACGTCTGATCTATGTAGTGAGACTCTGTAGACTCTGTACTAAATACAAACAAACAAAAAAAGTAAATCAGACACTGAGAAACCAATCCCCCTGGGGTTGTATCCCCGATTCCAGAGGCGCTTCCCTGTTCTTGCCCCCATCAGACAACCAGTGCCTCATCCAACTTCCTGGAAATAGGGCTTGAAGCACAGCTCAGAGGGCACAAGGCCCTGGCTTCCACTTTCAGCTTCAGAGACAAACCAAAGAACAAAAGTTCAGTTCCTGGACTTTTAGAAAGATGGTGGTTGTTCACAATGGCCCACCCTCCTGAGGATCCACAGGGATCTCCCCAGGGATTTTTTTTTTTTTTTTTTTTTTGAGACAGGGTCTCACTACACAGCCCAGACTTGTAGTGATCCTCATGATTTCTGCCTCCCTAGTGCTGGGATTACAGGCGTGCGCCACCACGCCTGGACTCCATCACCGGCTCAGCTCACCCTGGGGGTGGGGCCTGCGTGGCATCCAGAGCCAGGGATCAAACCCTGGCTCCTGCGCTTACCTAAGCAAATGCTTACTCCGCTGAGCTATACCGCCAGCCCTTCCCCCAAGATTCTGGAATGACCTCAAGGAGTGTCTGAAGAAGTTCCCTCTGGGCGAGTGTTGTCCGTGTCCCGTCCCCCCCCCCCCATGAGAGCCAACATTGCAAGCAGACAGTGGCTGCAGAGAACTCTGGCCTCCAATCCGTTCCCTGTGCATTTCTGCCTCTTCTCTGTGGGCTGCACCTGGTGCAGGTTGGGCCACCCAAGTTCCTAGGGGGTAGCAGGGTGGAATTTGCTGGCTCTGCAGCTGGTCTGTAGCAGCACTACCTGTGTCTTTCCAGATGTTCAAAGGACCTGAGAAAGACATAGAGTTTATCTACACAGCCCCCTCCTCGGCAGTATGCGGGGTCTCGCTGGATGTCGGTGGGAAGAAGGAGTATCTCATTGCAGGTACGTGGGCGGGCAGCCTTGCCTGTGGGAAAGGCCCTGGGCCACGAGGAACTTCTGACCCCTGGAACTGCTGAGAAGCTCCCTGTTCTCCATCCTAGCGCCTGTGGTACACGCGCCTCACACTGCCCTCTAGGGGTGACCTGGCCAAGCTGCACCCACGGTCATTCGGCTTTGGTGGTACAGTGACCCAGGTGTAGACCAGGGTCCATCTCCCAGTGCACCTTGCGTGTCTCTGCCCAGGCCGAGGCTGTTGGCTGTGGGACCTCTCTGCTGAGCCCTTCCGCTTCCTTTTCCTTTCCTGGGCCCTGACCTGAGGTGACTGTGTTCCAAATGCTTTCCATGCAGATCTTATTTAATCTCCTATGAGCAAAGTGCTATTGTGACCTATAGGCCTTCCTATAGGTGGCTGTGTGACCTTCCCTGCTCCAATCAAAGGCAGAGCCTCCTTCCAGAGTTGTGAGCTGCTCCCCAGGGTGTATCTGGGCAGCTGAGGACGGACACCTGCCCTGCAAAGGCACTACTGTCCTTCGGGACACTATTTTACCTCCTGGGGCCTTTGCAGCCAGCCCACAGATCCTGAGCACCAGGGTACTGCCCTCTGGTCCATAAAATAGGAGGTTCAGTCAGGGGGATCCTGGGGGCCAGCCCTCAGGGTGGGTTATTCCTTAGCAGCCAGGAGCCCTAACACACAAGTGCTGTGCAATGTACGTGGCTAATGCTCCTGTTCCATCTCACATACCCCAAGAGTGAGGAAGCCACAGGCTATTAGGAAACACTGGTCCAGAGCTAGGGCAAGGCAGAGCCCTCAGGGGCAGTGGCCCTGAGATTGTCACTGATGCTGTTTTATGTATTTGGGGGACGTAGTAGGGAAACTCAGCTCATTCAGCCCCTTTTCTGCAAGAGAGACCATTCAGTGTCCAAACGGAGCCCGCCTGTGCATCAGTTGTGCAGGAGCTGAGTCACGTCAGTGCTACTTGCAGACACTGTCACTTTCTGCACTTTGCTCATCAGGGGCTTCTTCATGTGGACTCTCGTGACACAGTACCCAGTCTCAGGAGAAGACGGGGTGCCATACCACAGTGCACACTACACAGTCTTTCTGAAACCCGAAGCCATTTGGACTATAGCTCCACGAACAATGGAGACTGAAAGCAACTCAGGGGACAGCCCACTTGGTGACCGTGTGCCTCTTGTCTCACATTTGCTCAGCTCTTTCCCGGAGCCAGCTGTGGCTTGGGGGGGGGGGGTGGCACCCATCACCTCCTCCCAGCTCATCACAGAGGACTGGTGAGGAGAGGCCATGGTAACCCTGGCCATCAGCCACTTCCTAAACCCCAGGGAAGACCAGCAGTTTTGTGGCCATGGAACCCAGCCCGTGGTTTCTGAGCCGCTCCATAGAGATAGAGCTCATATCCCAACAATTCACCTGGTCAGGTGCGTAATTCGATGGTTTGAGCTCTATCACATGATTCATTTCTTTAAAAACTGAAGTACCATCCTTATGAAATTTATCATTTTAATCATTTTATGTATATAATACAGTGGGATTGGCTACATTTACAATATAGTAAGTCGGGGGGGGGGGTGCCCAGCTGCAGGCTCCACAAGCACACCTGTGTGAGTTTGGACCTATTTTCCTGGCCCAGTGACTCGGTCTGTTGGTCTTCTCATGCCTACCCTGGGGCTGCTGTGAGGATGAACTTGGGGTCCCAGAGGTGCTGGGCCTGACCTAATCCAGATTCACTTGATGGAAGCCTCTAGTTTTGTTTCTTAAATGACAGGTGGCAGTGACTTGTGCATTCTGCATGGTGCAGAATAAGAGACTGGTGAGTGGGTCCAGAGCTGCCCCTGGGGTCTGAGAAGAGCCGAGTTAGCAGGGCAGCAGAACAGGAGAGGAAGTTTGGTTTGTGGAAAGAGCCTCAAAGGCAAGTGCTTTTTTTTTTTTTTTTTTTTTTCTTTGATGGAACCAGGGATTGAACTCAGTCCCCTCTGCTTGCCAGGCAAGCGCCTATTCCATTGAGCCATCTCCCCGCCTCAAAGAACCCAGACAAGAATGTGCAAGACAGCCCCAGGGTCTCTCTCCCCTTGGCAACCATTCTTGGAGATGTTCAGCAATGACCCTCCTACCCAGAGGTCAACTGCTGTCCCTTGAGGGCATACTATGCCATCCTCTCTGGAGGAGCAGGAGCGCGGCCCACATAGCTGCCTGGCTGACTTACCCCATCACCCCCAGAGCCTCTCTGATCACACTTCTTCTTCCCAAGCTCAGTCAGGTGACTGCACAGTCTCTGGCCTTTCCTTCCCAAGGCACAGAACCTACTTCCTGTTCTCTGGAGTCCGGATGAGTTAGCCAGGGGCTGGGCAGAGATCACGGGACACAGGGAGCCACTGCACCAGCCAGCGCTGACCACATGGCAGAGGCGGCCCACCTCCCTGGGTGGTGACTCAGCTTCACATGTTGAGCTGGGCTCTATGAGACCGTGTTCGGGAACTCTTATAGAATTGGCCCTGCAATTTTCTTCCAACAGTCCTCTTTTCTGAAAGGGAAAACCAAACATACAACCCTTAGTTACACTTTTTAATTCATTCCTGCTTTTTCTGTATCCAAAACTCATGCTTCACTTTTTTCCAAGACAGGCATCCACAGAATGCCGCAGCAAATCTTCATGTCATGTAAGCTAACCAGGTCTTAATTATACTAAGGGGTGTCTTTTAACATTTAGACATGCTACGCCCTTCATCAATGACATTGGCATTTCCTGTTAGCACAGTAACTGTCCCCTTGAAAAGATAAAGTTTGCATTTCCACTCCACTTTCTGCCTTTGCCAATCTTCTGTGGAAGTTTGAATTGGTAGTAAAAGGCCAAGAGGGACAAGAGCAGAAAAAGGCAGACCAGGAAGAAAATTATTAGAATAGTGTACACTGTCTGTAAATTTTATTATGCAATTCCTGTGTGCAGGGAACTATGGGTATGAGAAGAGATCGATGCTTCCCATCTGCTTAAGGAGCCAGATGCCTGAGACAGGAAGATGACAATAAAGACTGGGGTTTTTTTGGGTTTTTTCGTTACTGGGGATTGAACTCAGGACCTTGAAAGACTGGGGTATTAATGCTAGGCATGTGGTGCAGTAGAAATCAATGTGGAATTCTGGATGGTAGAGCCAGAATTGTGCAGCGGTGATGACCAAGTGGGGGAGGGCAGGGGCCGCACTCCCTGGTGCAGGTGGCCGAGGCCAGCAGAATCCAGGGGTGGGAATGTACCTCACCATTTTGCTCCTTTCTTATCTACTCTGCCCTGGCCACAGGTCTAGGGAAGAAAAGTCCCAAACATCTATTTTTGAAGTGTTTAAAGCCATGCGAACACTTACCATTTTAAGTTTTAGGATCCAGAATAAATGCCACTCTAGTAGGCCCTTTGGTTTCCTCCTTCCCCTGGAATGTCATACAGACCTAAACAGCTAAAAGGATTTGAGCTCCCAAGCCTAAGAGAAGGGGCTGGGGAGATGGCTCAGTGGAATAAGTGCTTCCCTGGCAAGTGCAAGGTCCTGAGTTCGATCCCCAGTTCCACAAAAAAAAAAAAAACTAGACTCACCAGGAGAGGAGCAGCTAACACTGGGGCAAGAGGGTAAGAATTGAAGCCCAGGGCATCTGTGCCACAGAGGCAGCATGCCCGGCACAGTAGATGGCACCAGTCCTCCACACAAGCCCTCACCCATCCTTCTGTGCTTCCCAGAGCAGCCGGTCCCAATAAACTATATTTTTCCTTCAGCAATCCACAGTAAGTGGATTGTCCGTGGCCAGCGTGGCACCTGAGATCTTTCAGTGGATGTTGTGGCACTTCATCAAGCAGAGACATTCAGGGTATGGCAGGGCCTCAGGGCCTCGTAGGGACTTGCCTGTTAGGTTCTTCCAGGCTCTCGAGGGCTGAGTTTTTAAGTCACTGCCATAGCCACCTTTAGATTCTGTCACTAACTGTAATATGCTTGTTCATTCTTTTTCTCCTGCCTGGCTAGTGCTGAGACTGTCACCAGCGTGATGTCCTTACCAGAGGAGGAAGGGAGCGGACTCAGGAGCCTGGGGCACAAGAAAGGAACAGCGCCTCCTTGTGCCCAGCGAAGGGAATTTAGAACCTACCACTGACTTTAAATGCTTCCATGTGTTTGCTAGTCATACTAGAAAAATGCAGGATTGCAGGGTCAACGCTAAATGGGAAGAATGCCCATGACTAAATATTATTTGGTGAAAAATAGGAAACAGAATGATCTACATGCCACATAATTGTGTGTGTGTGTGTGTGTGTGTGTGTGTGAACTTGCCTGTGAAAATATAGAGAGTAGGAGGGTGTGGTGGTGCACAGCTGAGCCAGGAGGATCACTGTGAGCTCAAGGCCAGCTTGGGCTGCAGAATGAGTTCAAGGCCAGCCTGCACTGCATAGTGAAACCCTGTCTCAAAAAGACATAGATAGCAAAATCCAAAAACAAGAGAGATTACAAAAAAAAAAAAAAAAGCTTTTTAAAATTGTTTCTTACTCTTTCTTTCTTTCAGAACTGGGAATTGAACCCAAGGCCTTCGTACTAAGTTAAATTTTTCTCTTTTTTATCTTATTTATTTATTTTTGGTACAGGGTCTCACTGGGTTTTGGGGCTGGTACTATGTGCCCGGGGTTCCAGGGACAGCACAGCATGAGGTACCCAGGAACAAACCCAGGTCCTTGTGCTTTATTTTTTGAGACAAGGTCTTGCTAAACTGCCTAGGCTGGGCTTGAACTTTCAATCCTCCTGCCTCAGGTTCCAAGAGTGTTGGGATTACAGGTGTATACCACCACCACCACCCCGCTCCTTTCTTGCTTTTTCTGTTTTCTACAGTAAGAACAAATTTCAAAACTCACAGTATAACAATCGAAGGCATCGTTAGAACTAAATCCCAGCACCCCTGAGTCCTGTCTAGATATCAGAGGTAGGTCGGGGAAGGGAACTCGGCACTCAGCCTGAGTTTGGGGAACCTTGTCTCCACAGGAAAGGCCGAGGGGGATGGCAAGATGCACATCACCCTCTGTGACTTCATTGTGCCCTGGGACACCCTGAGCACCACCCAGAAGAAGAGCCTGAACCACAGGTACCAGATGGGCTGCGAGTGCAAGGTGAGTTCACTCATGGCCACGGCCTCAGTAGGGCAGTTGGGGTGCCAGACTGGCTTCCCAGGAGCCTCAAGTCCGCTGGATCCTCCTTTAGAACCAGACTCCTTGGGAGGGAGGCTACCTGGCTGGGGACAGAGCCTTTGGTCCCTGGTCCTCAGAGAACCCTACAAGGGATGTTTGGAAAGGGGGCAAGTGTGCTGATCTAGCTGTGTGGCTGGTAGCTTCTAGGAAGAGCAGCCTTCTCAGGAAAGGAATTCTGTAGGAAAGCATGCTCCAGTGAGTATTTTTCTACAAAGGTACAAGTGTAAACCTTTGTATGCCTTGTGAAAGAACACCCCGGGTGCAACACTTCCCCTAGCATCACAGGCATATGCGCACGTGGGCTCTCTGGTGGTGGGTTCTCTATGTTGAGAACCCTGGAAACACCTGTTTCCCTTGTCAGAATCTGCCCAGAAGTTGTGCTAAGCAGATCTAAAGTGATATAGACACTCATGCAACTGAGGAGGGCAAGATCTGCCCCAGGGCTCCAGGTTGGGAGCCCGTCATCTCCCAACACTTTGCCATTGTTCCCAAGGCAGGAAGCACTGCTGGGCACCCAGCATCCCTCTGTGGTGGCAGGAGGGACCAGAAACTTCTAGCCAAGCCCTGTCCCATACCAGCTAGGGCCGATAAAGCTCCTCCCATTCCAGCCGGTGCTGCCCTTCCTGTGCTCATGCAGTGTGAATTCCACGCGCCTGATGCCCGTGCGCACTAGGCACAGCGCCCCTATCCTTAGTGTGATACCAGAAGCTCTCCTTTGCTCAGTGTCTGCAGAAGTAGTTGCCCTCATAGCCACAAGTTCCTCTGCCACAATACTAGCTGTCTGTCACCTCAGACCTTGCATTGAGAGCAAGGTCCAGGCCTCCTTCTTCAGCTAAAATCTGTTTCCAGGAAAATGTCACACCTATTTTCATTCTTTTGTGGATATGTGTATGGGGGTACTAGGGACTGAACCTGGAGTCTTCACACTGAGCTAGATTGCCTAGCTTTATTTTATTTATTTATTTTTTAATTTTGATACAGTGTCTCACTAAGTTGCTGAATTTAAGGCTGGGCTTAAACTTGTGAGCCTCTTGCCTCAGCCTCCCAAACTGCTGGCAATACAGGCATGCACAACCACGCCTGACTCTGTTGTCATTCTTCTTGTTGTCTTGTACCTTTAGAAAGGTCAGGTAAAATAAAGCCATGGTATGGTTAGAGAAGGTAGACCAGATGGCCCGAAGGCGGGCACTACACAGGTGAGTAGGCACACAGGCCAGCAGGTTCACAGCTTGGTTGGGTACACTGAATTGTGTAGGCAGGTGCAAAGGTGCAAAGACTTTCCCTAGCACCTGCCTACAGCTCTATAGAAGGGGTGAGACAAGACTGCCCTCCCTGATTGCCTCAACAAGCACATAGCTGGGTCCTGGAAGTGTCCCTGAGCAGCCTAGCCCCTGCCCATTCCTCAGTCCTGGGCTGAGTCCACCTGTTTGTCCCCAGATCACCCGCTGCCCCATGATCCCATGCTACATCTCCTCCCCGGATGAGTGCCTCTGGATGGACTGGGTCACAGAGAAGAGCATCAATGGGCACCAGGCCAAGTTCTTCGCCTGCATCAAGAGAAGCGATGGCTCCTGCGCGTGGTACCGTGGGGCAGCACCCCCTAAGCAGGAGTTTCTGGACATCGAGGACCCGTAAGAGGCCGACAGCACCCCTGTGGCCGATTGAGAAGCCTCCAAGGGTTTAGACTGGTCCAGCTCTGACATCCCTTCCTGGAAACAGCATGAATAAAACAGTCATCCAAATGGGTCACATCAGTGTGATTCTGCCCCTCCCCATTGTCCTGTTAAATGTGCTTGTGGGCCAGAGGGAGTGGTGGGCCCAGATCCCCCTGTACCCTTCCCTGAGGCACCGTGTGTCTCAGTCTTTGATCCTGGGGTAGGCAGGGGTGGGACACTCAGACTCCCACCCAGGCCTGCTTGGTGCCATCCCAGAGGCTGGGCAGGCAGCATTGAGGGTCTCTGTGGCCTGGTGAGGGCAGAGCCTGGAAATGTGCATTTTGCAGAAACTTCTGAGGGTCATTGTAAGACTGTGTAGCAGGCCTACCAGGTCCTTTTCATCCTGAGAGGGGCATGTCCCTGATTTTCTGCAGCAGACACCTCTCTGGCGTAGGGTGGCAGTCCCTGCTCCTTGCAAGTGCCCCTCATCTCCCCTGGGCCCACCATGGACCCCAGCACCTGTAACTCCCCCAGGCCCAGAAGCCACCTTGAAACCAGGGGCTCATTCCTAGAGAAGCTCCACTCAAACGTGTAAATCTACGAAGTTCCACTAGGAACCTCCCTAGAGACGTGTGGCAAGAGACCCCTGCTGGGCCACATTTTGACTTCAGCTAAATCTCTCCAGCTTCCCACCCACACAGTCTCCTCAGCTCCTAGTGGGGATCTGTGTGGTGTCCTGCAGAGCAGGTGTCTGGGGGTAGAGAGGTTGCTCAGCTGCCCTCATAGTTCACTCCCAAGCTTCTCCAGTTGATCTTGCCTCCTTCCCACCAGGCACTGGGACACTGGATTGAGCCACTGAGCTTTGCTTTCCCCAGGCTGGCACACGGCGTGGCTGGCTGTGTTCCCTGTTTGCACAAACTAAGGATGGAGATGCTGGTTTTGCCATTTCCTGCAGGCTTAGTGGCATCTCCTTCCAAGACTTGACGGTCACTAATTTGCTGCGGATCTCTGCGACTGACATTAGCTAAGGGGTGGACAGCTTGTGTGACGCTTCCGGTCCTTTCTAGGCCTCCATGATGCTGTGGCCCGTTTTGAGAGACATCCCAGTTTTCTAAAGATAAATTCCTAAATAATGTGTTAACACAAGTTGTAGGTATGCCAAGATAGGCTTCTGTTTCTTATGTCACAAGGATCACCCACTTAAAGATACTTTACAGGGAACGAGGGAACCTACCTGTCCCAGAAAAATGGTTTTCTGATGCCATTACCATAGGAGTTCACACAGTACCAACAGAGACTCATTTTACTTTCTACTTGTGTTATAATGATAGACTTCTCTGAGGACACACACACACGCACACGCACACGCACACGCACACACACACTATGCAAACACACAAATGAAATCTGACAGCCTAGGAGTGGCCCTTCTGTAAAACGCTTCCCAGGTCACCATCCTCTAAGCCTGTTTTATTCTGCAGCAGCCCCAAAGCAACTGAGGACTCCTGACCCCCGAGTGGCATGCAGCCCCTATGCCCACTGGGACCTGGTCAGCACAGGACTTGATGACTTCCCTTTCCAGGACAGACTGGGAGGCTATCCAGGAATCAACTCTTGCCCTGAGGGCATTTTCATGCTGTACAGTGATAGAAAGTTGGTAAGATGTCATAATGGACCAGTCCATGTGATTTCAGTATATACCACACCACCAGACCCCCCGCCCCAATCAATATAACACCCCACCCTGTTTGCTTCCTGTATGGTGATATCATATGTAACATTTGCTCCTGTTTCTGCTGACTTCTGAAATGTTTGGGTTTATTTCGGACATCCGCTGTGATCATTCCCGTGCTGTGTTTTTCATTACCCTTGGTAGGTGTTAGACTTGCACTTTTGAGACACAGTTACTGCATCAAGGAAACATTGGACTCACAGTGGAAGGCGTGACATGGTAGCTGGCCCGTGACAGTGGCTCCCTTCAAATCTTCTCTTTAGTCCCTTGACCAGTGTTGCTTTTTCTGCCTCCCATCTTTTGTTCTCCGGTTCAAATTATTACAAAGGAGAGAACCTCTGAGTGGTTTGGTTCTAAAAGGTGGCCTTTAAATTTGATCCACACACATTGGTTTTCTAGCCATGCTGAGCAGCAGGAGAAAATAAAAGTCAGATCAAGAGGAAGTGCTGGTGGTAGCCGAGAGACAGCCACTCAAAGACCTTCCCAGTAAACAATGGCAGTATATATATAGTGTAAGAAGGATCTCTATTTGGCCTTGTTTAATTTATATTATATCCTAAGCACTGCTCTTTCCTCCTATTCTCGTCATGCAAGCAACTCTAAATATTTAAAATGAAGTTTACATTGTAGTTGTTTTAAAAATCTTTGCTTGATAAGTTTTAAGAAATATGGGACTTTCTGCCATAATTTAAAGCCTTGTTGATTTTGTCTGTTTTTCTTTGGACTTGTTGTGGGGGAAAGCAGTGTGTTCACGCTGAAACAGGACGTCTGAGCCCCCCGCCTGAGCTGGGAACACAGGAGAGTGGTTGGAAATCAATAGCAGACTGCGCATGTCCCTGATGCTTTGTATCATTTTTGAGTGATTGCTCCGTCAATGGACAATAAACCATATTATCAAACAGAAGCCTGGCTCTGTCTGTGTGGCTGTCTTCGGTGGTCAGGACTGCTTTCTAGCTCAAGCACGAAGACTGAGCGCCTCCCTGCAAAGCAGCCTTTCCCGTCCAGGGGAAGGGGCTCCCTCTGTGTCCAACGGCAAAAGGCCCGGGTGCTTTGAGAGGGTTAATGTGGGCTGTGGCTGTGACAGGGCGGACAGAATAAACATGGTTCTCTTTCTCTTTTCTTTCTCAGCACTGGTTATTGAACACAAACCCTTCATACTGGGCCAATCCCCAGTCCTTGTCATTTTTTATCTTTGAGACAGTCTTGTTAAGTTGACCAGGCTGAGTTGGAACTTGCAATCCCCCTGCCTCAGCCTCCTACAGTGCTGATATTAAAGGTGTGTACTATCGTATGCAGCTGGGAACACGATTTTAAATGGACAGAGCCAGGAGGATACAAGTGTCCCCTTCTTTTGTTCGGCACACACAAATTTAGAGAGAAAAGCAGAGCCACGGAGCCTCTCCCCCACCCTCCTCCTGGGGTCCACACTCACTTCCTGGGGCAATTTGGCAAAAAAAAGTCCCAGTTTCATCCACAAATATTCAGCATCTATGTCTGAAACCTAAGAGACATTTTTAAAACATTCTAGAGGTGCCTTTAACATGTTTTTGTTTTTTGGGGTTTTTTTTTTTTGCAAAACTGGGGATTGAACTCAGGCCCTTGTGCTCACCAGGGAAGCACTTAATCCACTGAGCCATCTCCTCAGCAACCTTTAGCATGTTTTAAAAGCATAGTTTGTTAAGGTTATCAGCTATCTATGATGTCAGTTTCTTGACATCTCTGTCTCACAAATGCTTTTTATGATGTAATGCTTTGAACCAGAAACCAAATGTGATACATCCGCTGCGGAAGGCCAACATGCTGTGGTCCTTCAGTGTGGTGGTGTTAACAGTCAGGGGTCGGGAGGAGGCTCTGTGCTTCCCGACTTCCTGACAGGTCATGAGAGTTCTCCTCAAGCACACACACACTATGCTGTCCTCTGCCATGACAGGATACAGCCCCAGGCGGCCCTCACCAGAGGCCAGATCAGTAGAACTCCCCAACTTGGGCTTTCAGCCTCCCAAACTGTGGGTCTGCACACTGGTTTAAAACTGCCAACAAGGGGCTGGGGAGATGGCTCAGTGGTCTAAGGCACCTACTTAGAACAAGCTTAGCAAAGCACAAGGGACCGCGGTTCAATCCCCCAGCACCACATGCCAGCCAGCCCCGCCCCCTGGTGGGCTGAGCTGGCCACACACACACACACACACACACACACACACACACATAAATAAAATAAAATAAATTTAAAAAAAAATAAAACTGCCAACAAGCCTTGGATAACAGTCGAAACTGGACCACGGACACATGGAGTTCATTTTACCATTCTCGGCATTTTTGTAAATGTTTGAGAATTTCCATGAGAAATGTTTTTTCTTTTTTTTAATGCCACATCTGACCTAAATACATAAATGAGTGGCATGGACAGCAAGCATCTGATGGGAGGTTCACTTGGATGGAAATGGTGCTTGCAGGCTAAGATGGGCTGAAAATGCTAGGGAGAGGCATGTACGTGCCACTGAAGCCAGGCATGGGGACCAGAATGCCTGTGATCCCAGCAACAGGGAGGCTGAGGAAGGCAAATTACTATGAGTGGGAGGCCAGCCTTACCATTAAGAGAGTTCAAGGCCAGCCTGAACTACATAGCGAAACTGTCTCAAAAAGACAAAAAGAAGGTAGGGGCGGGGGGACTTGCTTTAGTGGTGCAGTGCCTGCCTGGCAAGTATCAGGTCCTGAGTTTGATTTCCAGTATCACCCCAGAAAAAAATGCCTCTGAAAGTTTCTGTGTTGTTATCATGACAGGTGGCTACGCTTCCCCCCAAGATTTGTTAGGTTTTTTTTTTAGCAGTGGCATGACAGAGAAACAGAAGTAAAAGGGAAAACGGGGGGGGGACAACTTTATTATGTCTGAGGACACAGAGAATCCAAGGGAGGTGGAGGGAGATTCTCCGGCCTCAGACAACGGGAGGCTGAGGGCTGAGACTCAGACTCTGAAGGGCAGGTCTAGCGACACCTATGGAGCTGGTTGGGGCCTTCCTTGTGGCATGTGAAAAGTGAAAGGAAATTGTATCCAGGGCTGGGTTGGGAAAGAAGGGAGGGGTGGTCTTTGAGAAAGTAAGCTGTTGCTTTAAGGGCCTCAGCCATGTTAGATGACCACCACAGCAATTCATACCTGGGCCAGAAACCTATCAATTTCATCACATGGGGAAAAAAAACCCAATCCAAATATTTCTTCAGTAGATGATGCTAACTGAGTAAAATCTAATGTCTTGTGGCACACACATTGGTTCAAATTTGGTTCCATGTTTTACTGCTTCAGAAAGTTTGTTCTTGCTTTTCAGACAGCAGCTGTACAAAATGAAAAACAATTCTTCAGGCTGTCCCTAATTTGCATATAGGCTGGAGGGTGGGCAACGTTTCAAATTCTCATGAAAATCGTATTTTTCATATGTGGAGTTGAAATAATATGAGACACTTGGTTAGAACTTAAGATACAGTGTGACCATCTTTCCTAGCAAATGGGAAGGGGGAAGAAACCTGTAGGTTAAAGAGATTTGAAAGACGTATCAACTATATGTTTCCACTTTCAGTTATTATAACAAAATACCTGGAGTTGGTAATTTATAAAGAGGTTCATGTAGCTCATAGTTTGGGACACTGAAAGCCCAAGTCAGGCAGTTCTACTGACCTGGTGAGGGCCACCTGGGGCTGAATCCTGTCATGGCAGAGGACAGCACAGTGGGTGTGTGCTGGAGAAGGAGTGCTCTCGTGGCCAGTTAGGAAGCCAGAAGGCACAGAGGTCAGTGATGGCCCCACAGGCCCCCTCACCTGGTAACAGAACCACACTGAGGACCCTGAAGGATAGGCCACTATGTAGACCTACTACCCCAATGAGGGTAGCTAGCTAGGTAAGGGCCTACCAGACCCCATGGTGGTCAGACCACTCACCCACACACATTAGGGGGTTCCCATTGGAAACACAGCAGCAAACATTTCAGGATCCCATGGTCTTCTCCCCATTCAGGAGACTGAGCGCCTAAACTCCCAGAGGGTACCACGGAAGAAGTCACTCTAACAAATTGAGTCATCCCAACAACAGCCACCATTGAGTCTATGCCAGAACTGCTGCTGAAGTTGGCACATTCTTGGTCACACTGAATGTGCGCCACCTGCACAGTCTTCTCACCTCCCCCACTTATAGAGGAGGAAACTGAGGCCAGCATAGGGGAGTTGCTGGGCATCCAGCTGAGAAGTGCTGGCTTTCTGCAAGAAAGGAGCAAGTGCTCAGCTGTGGCTTGGGGAGGGGGTGACACCCATTCCCTCCTCCCAGCTCATCACAGAGGACTAGTGAGGAGAGGCCATGGTGGTTGAGAAAGGTAACCCTGGCCATCAGCCACTTCCTAAACCCCAGGGAAGACCAGCAGTTTTGCGGCCATGGAACCCAGCCTGTGGTTTCTGAGCTGCTCCATTGAGACAGAACTCATATCCCAACAATTCACTTGGTCAGGTGCGTAATTCGATGGTTTGAACTCTATCACATGATTCATTTCTTTAAAAACTGAAGTGCCATCCTTCTTATGAAATTTACCATTTTAACCATTTTATGTATATAATACAGTGGGATTGGCTACATTTACAATATTGTAACAATCAGCACTACTACTTCCAACGCCTCCACCAACAGAAACTAACCACTGAGCCACAACTCCAATTTCCCCCTCCTTTTGGTCCCTGGTGACTTGCAATCTATCTTCTGCTCTGTCAATTTGCCAATTCTAGAGAGTTCGTGTAAGTGGAATTGTATAATGGTCTTTTGTGTGTGACTTATTTCACTTAGCAGGATGTGCTCGAAGTTCAGTTGCAATGTAGTGTGTGTCCTCCCTCTTAAGGCTACTATTCCACTGCATGTGTGCATCACATGTTTAGCTGGGCACCCCTCTGTGGGCACCCGTGTTGCTCCCACCATCTGGCTTCTGTGAACAACATTCCTGTGAACACAGGGGTGCAAGTGTCTCTTTCCCCGCCCCCCACTTTCAGGTGATGATAGTTTTCTTTAGCACTCTAAAGAACCACATTTTCACAGGGACAGTCCACTGTATATTCCCACCAGCAATGTGTGAGTCGCAGTACGTTTTCAAGTTACCCTTTTTATACCTCTCCTTCAAGGGAGACTCCCAGACCCCCTTGCTAACCAGATGACAATTTACAGTATGCAGGAAACTTCTGTATTTTACATTAAGAAAACAGATCGCATTGGAAATCATGAAGTATGAGCCAGCTACACAGTGGGGAGGATTCTGAAGAAACCCACCGAGCGGCTCAACCTATGGAGTCAAAGTCGCCTTACCCACCGGGCCCCACGCACAGGCCCCTGCCTCACTCGGCCTGGCCTCCTGCCTGTGCTCTGTGGTCAGCACCCCTTCTGATGGTCTCCTCTTCAGGTTCATGCCTGCCCCAAGTCCTCTGTCCCCACTGCTCCTGAGCTCTCTTCCTTCTTCCCACAGCCAACTCCCAGGCTCAACATAGGTACCCCATCTTCAGAAGGGTCCCTGACCCCCAGGGTCATCGTTCATCATCTTAATTATGCAAGCTTGATTTGCTGATCATGACCTGCATGCTGCTGACCTGTATCCTTGTTAACCAAGACCCAGCACTGCTTGGTGCCATGGGGTCATAGGAAGGTGTCACTGTAGGAGGACGATAAGGACACTATGTGTCAGAGCCTTGGATCTTCCTCCCAGGGAAAGGAAGAGGGTCCTCAGCTCTGTCTGGGGCTGCCTGGCAAGCATTTCCTACAGCACCTTCAGGTTCTGCTGGGGAGAAGAGCAAGGAGAACGCGGGAGGGTGTGGAGAAGAGGCAGATCAGTCCAAGAGCCCACAGTGATGGTCCTAAGCAGGAGGGGAGGTAGGGCAGAGAGGTGGAAA